AACACTGACCATATTTCTAATAATCCTCTCTTTTATTCAAAACATCTTCCTTTGGCATTAATAGAATGCTGGGTACCGTCACCCAATTCATGTATAGACTTCTGGAAATCTGATTTTTGAATTGCCTCCCGTATCCTTGTCACGGCTGCTTGTATAGTTCGAATGTCACCATAGCGAATCCTCTTCATTGGGATTGTCAGTCTTGGAAACAGGAAGTAATCACATGAAGCGATATCAGGTGAACACGACAGATGAACAAGCAGTGTTATTGTGCTTATTGGCAAAAAAATCACGTACGGTCGCGGTACGATGAGCAGGTGCTTTATTATGTCTGTACAACCTGCCGTGACTAGGGCACTCAATGTGATTCTGAAAGGAAATTTCCAGAAATCTATTCGTACACTGATTAACCGTGTCCAAGCGTTGTACTAGTCAGCACAATATTAATTTGGAGTGCGACAAAAATTCGATTACTATAACCAACGCAACGTGCTTGAATTAAATCCTTGTCAATCGTTTGAGTTAATATTTTTCAGACATGCTGCCGAAAGACAATCTACCTACCGACTCCCCAATATGATAGAGATGTAGATACGATTATAAGGACGAAACGCGATTACAGGGACAGTGTGTATTAATTAAAAAAAAACACATTGATGTGAATATTTTAATCGAACATAATCAAAATTTTTATCTCTTGTTCGATCTAATAAATACACTATGAATCTTTATGAAAATATCAATTTTTAAAGATTTATTTCCGGAAAGGGGAAAAAACAGAAATTTCTCAATAGCACTGAAGGTTCATTGAAATCGTACATACTATATGTATAACAGAAACTATACTAAAATATATTGAACCTCTCAATATACTGAATTTCGGAAAATCAAGTGCGCTATAAGTGAATAAACTCCGCAGTCTACTAATAAAACCTTCAAGAGAAGAATCAAATCTTTATTTAATTCCTGCATATTAAAAATGAACGAAAACGTAACGAGTTTACTTAAAGCATATCATATTACTTGGATGACGGGAACTGGTGGCTGATCGAATTTGAAAAATTTCGCATTTGAAACTTGTTTTTTTCCGTTATAGTTGTACATCGTACATATACAAGTTTAGATATTGTTGAATTTGTATTTTTATGCTGTATAACATTACGAAAAGAAAATACAAAATTAAAGTGGAAAAAGTATCATGACCTTAAAATCTCAAAAGTTGACTTTCAAAAAAAATTTGTTCCTTGGCATTATACTTACTTCATTAAACAGTACAACTTTCATTTAAGATATTCTTTCATATCTTTATTAAACACGAAGTTATTTACAATATATTATTTACATATACAATATACTGTATATTTATTATACAAAAAACTGTTTTATAATCGAAAAGAAATTTTAGTGGGGAAAAAAATGAAAGTATCTTCATTATTTAAAAATATCCTTTTAAAAGATTTCGTTGAAATATTTTATATATCTTTTGATAATGTCTGTTTTTTTACATCCGGAAACTGTTTTCTATTTTCGGCAACAATTTGCAATATGTATTGCTTTTCCTCCTAATTTTATGTTAATATTTTATTATACTCTTGTATCAGTTTGACATCACATTCAGCAATGTCGTTTACAACGTTTAATTCTTGAATGATCCTTAATCCATATTTGAAATCATTCACATCTTTCCACAAATCGGGATCATTTTTTAAAAATTCAAAAGGACTTCAGAATCTTTTCATGAAAAATGAATGTTGGGAGATGCAGTATTCAATATCTCTGTGAATCTAGATTTCTACATCATGAGGAGTATATTTTGAATTTTTTACAAGGTTCGTCCGTTTCAATATTAATCGCCTCCACCATTCGCAGTTTCGGGCTCTTTACCACTTTTTTGTCATAAAGCGATAGTGCTAAGTACCTCAGAATATAAATACCATAGATAGGTACGAAACTTTTTATGTTCTATACGACTTATTTTCTGATCAATATAAATAAATATCATCCAAATTGTGTCGTGATTGGTATCATTTTAACTAGAAAAATCTCACCAATATGTTCATAAAAATTTCATTAATAAAGAACCGAAAATAGAAAAGTGTTATCGTTGCATTAGTATTGTCTCACCGACACCCGGGAATGTAATCTTTTTGTGGGCTTCCAACGTTCAGTTGTCGGCTCGTGAAAGGGAAGCCGCCTTCCCCCCCCCCCCCCCCCCCCCCAGTGGTGGAAATGACGCCTAGACAATAATCGTGGATCAACAATCAGTCAATAATCGCGAGGTCCCTGTATTCTGCACGTAGGAACTAACAGTAATATATTATGAAATAATTAAGAAACTGTCTTGATGAAAGTATGAGTTACTTTATTACAATTCTGAAATCTGTTTTCTTCTGTATGTATAAGCGAAATAAACGAAAATGTCTAAATAACTTCGTTATTTATACATATATGAAAAAGTGTCTAAAATGAAACTTGTACTGGTGAATGAAATGAATACAATGCTAAAGAAAAAGTTTTGTTTTTGACGCCAATTTTGGGATTTGAAGGTTGCGACTTTTTTTCACGGTAATCTTCTATTTTCCTTTTCGTATTGTTATAGAGCATAAAGGAAACAAATTTACCGATGTATAAAACCGTATATTTACGATGTACTACAATGGAAAAAAATAAGTTTCAAAAGTAAAATATTTTCAAGTTTGACGTGGCACGGGTTTCTTTCGTCCGATCGATCTAAAATTTTGCATATATTATTTTTTCAGCTAGTTTCATAATCCTAGGGAGTGTCTAAAAAAAAATTCGATGATTGAAAAATAAAGTCCACCCTACTGTATACATATATACGGTTTATCAATATTTTACGCTTCTGCAGGTGGAAAGAAATTCGACTTTCACGAACCAACACATTTGTGCATTGTCATCGCTACTTTCTGCTGAGTTTTATCGCTCCAGGTATTATACAATGCTCCGATATTACGCTACCACGTGCACACACATGCAAACGTTCGCACTGACCTACATACATTCCCAATGCAGACTTTTCTCCTTATCGGAAATTATTTTCCTGGCTACTGGGAAATTGTACCTTCGTTCAACGAATGCAGCTTTTAGAAAAATTGATTTCGATCATTAATTGACCGGACTTCTTTATATTGACATTAAATAAAATCACTCGAGAAGATATTTCGTTAAAATTGGCAATGTCTAATGTAATTAATTCAGAAATTTTAGTTTCATAAAAACGACTCGATGATTTTAATAAAAGTCATACAAGTCACAACTCAAAATAGTGAATACGATCCATAGTGAATGTTTTACTGTTTAAAAGGATGTAGGTACCTATACCGTTTAACATAAACATGTTATTTTATTTTTCAGATTCCTAAAATAATCATTTTTAATTTACTAAAATTTCGTTTAATATTTAATGTACCATTTTATTCGAATTCTCTAATAATATTTTGTAATAGTAATTTTTCTTTAAAGTTTAAATTATTATATTTGTAAGTTATTAAAAAAATACCAATAAACATAGAATCGCGTCTTTTAATTATAAAGGAAGTATTATAATGTAAAGAAAGAAATGCATCCAAAATGTTTTTTTCGCAAATAGAAGGTAACTAATATTTCTTTATTTCTTTCAATAAAGTTTACCAGTTTGTACTTATAATTTTATTATAATATGAACACCGACGAGCAAATTTGGCCTCCGCTCGGGGAAAAAGTGAGGTAGCCGAAGGGCTTCCTACTATTTAGTTTTGGGAGTTACCGCAGTATATGCCACATTAACATTCGGTTTAACATTTATTTCAGTACTTGAAATATATTTTCTAAGTGGTAGGAGACTTTTCTTCTACGCCACTTTTTCCCCTAGCAAAAGCCTAGTTTGCTCGCAAGGGTAAACTGAACATATTGCACATTTGTATGTACAATGGTGGGTAAAATGTAGAGGCAATATATGTACATCAAACATTGTTATAAATTACAGGCGCCATACAGTTCAAATAAATAATATTTTAAACAGGAAAATCAAATATCTTTATTTTAATAACCGAAGCTTGTGTTTAAAATATCTGTGTTAAATATGTTTTGACACTAAAAATAACGCGAGGGAAGAAATTTCACTACAACGCAAGAAACCAGAAAAATGACGTACAACAAAAATTAAGAAAAATAATTATATCTATGAACGTATTGGAGTTTAACACGTCATAAAACATTGTGAATAAACTGAAAATAAATTGGAATCAATAAAATCATCTCAATAATATAATCTCAGATTGAAGCTATTTTTAGTAACCCTCAAATGAAATACCATTTTAAAAACTTGATGCAACCAATGTGTACTATTTCATTCTCGCACTTATACGTAAGATTTAAAATAAAATAGTCTATATATTACACATGTCGAAATAATTAGAGAATAAAGTATTGCAGACGCTCTGCTTGTCGATATGACGTATAATATCCGAAAAGTTTTTAATACAAAAACAACTAGGTCACTTCGACCGTCTGAATGACAGTTGCAACGTTTATACTGCGGTCGTACGACTTGTAGGCAATACGGCAAGCTAAAAATCTGTCGTCCTAACCGTCTATCCAACTTCCTGTGCAACTTGTCGTACGACAAATCCTATCGTCTATGGGAGCCTTTAGTAGCGTGATCATTGTACGGAAAAGATATCAACGTATCAAACCTATAAGCGCTGGTATTGGCCTTTTGCTTGATAAACTTGCTAACTACAGAAAGGGGACGTGTCAAAATCTTGTAATTTTCAGGGGATATCTCTTGAACATGTCCCATTTCTGTAGTAAATGCATCTTATTTACGTCCATAGCTAACTCGATAACGTATAAATATGAACATTTCTACAACAAACAGTGTATTCAGCCTACAAAAGTGGTATTTTATTGAAAAGCGAATTACTTAACAAAAATTGAGATATCGCCTGTCTGCAGTTAGTGATTCATATATATTTTACCCAACTTTGTTGTCACAGAAGATGGTAGACGTAACAACGGCTCCACCATCCACCGGTGGAGCGTCCCTAATTGGACGAACCAGAGGTGCACTTAAGTCCGTCAGGTCTGCGCTGGGAGGCAGTGGAGAGTACCTGCAGGGTCTAGGAAGTAGAATAGGCTCCGCTCTAAGTAGCAGTTTAGAAGAAAGTGAATTGACCACGACCCCGTCGACACCGCCCTCCTCGCCACAAGCACCACCTCAGACTGAGAAAGAGGAGGACCACCTGGCCAGAAGGAAATTAAGGCTACCCAGGTACGTTTCTGTCTGGCGAATATCTTCTTAAACGTTAGCTCCATGTGACGGACGCGGAAAATGATGTTATTTTTATATTATCCTTCTGGATACAGTAGGATCTCCTCTATCCGAATTAAATGGGAGACATGAATGTGCAAATAATCAAATTGTCAGATAATAGAACACATACAATTTTGATATTTATCTTCGTGTATTTTGCAAAACAGAATGTAAATATTAATAATAGAAGTATACAACCGACGAAAACAAGAATGACCAAATTGCGTTTGAGGCTTCGCTTCAGAGTTATTAATTATTGAAAGTAGAGACCAAATATGTGTAAAATACATCTGATGCGAGGGGTTATTCTTCTTTAGAGACGCGCTTTTCAACTCTTTCACAAATTGGTTTCATTCATTAAATTTAACTAGGTTATCGATCGAGCCTGTGTATCTGCTGTGAATCGGCTGTTCAAGTAGTCTACCTTATTACGCCAGACGAATTTTACGCATATTTCACCCGTATATTCAACAATTAATAATTCGGGAACGAAACCTCGGACCCAATTTCGTCCGTTTTGATTTTCATCTTACAATTAGTTTTGCATGTAGAATCCAGTCTGTGAAAGTGTCCCACATTTTTATCAACAGCCTGTATATTAAGTAGGTATCTAATTTCTAACCTCCAAATCTTTTACTAAATCGTGTTTAATTATACGGTTGTATACTTCTATTATTAATATTTGCATTCTGTTTTGCATATTCCCCCCTGCTAACGAAACATCCATGATAGAAAATGAAGTTTGACAAATGAAATTTATGAAATTCAGATAGGAAATTGTGCAAAAAGTTTTGTATTCTGGTGTATACACCAAACTTTGTTCTGTGTCAAAAATCACTCACTGCCTCCTTTTACCTGTCTGACTTTCCACAGGTAGTTAACGTTAACATAAATAAAATCTCCGATTTGCTATTTAGAAAAGTGTCACAACTAATAAAAGTGATTTTTCCAAAAATCGGTTTGAAATGCTTTATGGCGACAAAATTGTTAATTACCAAATCATTTAATAATGAAAAAATTGTTTCTTTTTTAAAATGTAGCTAATAGTCTTTTGGATTTGAAGGTCTCTAATCAAATATTGTGTCTATTGCTCATTATTAAAAAATGGACAACCTTGATAACTTTTATATCTGACTCTTTGACAACATTATTATAGTAGTCTTTTATTAAATTAAACATTATTTAATTTTTCTATCTCATCACTTATAGAATGAATTTCTTCAGATATCTTGAATGTGACGGCTTTTTAGATGTGTTACTTTTCTAGCTGTTAGAAACTCGGGGTACAAGTTGTTGCCGGTATCGGAGGTGCACCCGGTATCTACCGTTCAAAGTCGTTAGTCGATTATGATTCTTCGTACAAGGGCGACGAGGAGAAAACATAATGTAACTGTTGTTTTTCTCTGACTTTGTACGATAGAAACTGAGCCACGTACGCGTTGCTATGCGTGCGAGCAGGAGGGCTTGCTACGAAAGGGAGAGCGAGAGAGAAGGAAACAATCTCGGTACAGAACACCGGTCGGTTTGAAAACGCCGGGCGTTGGCCGTAACGTAACCGATCGGCGATGTAACATTTCGTTCTAATCATTCGATCAGCAGTTCGTTGTAATCCTTCGATCAGAACAGTTCTTTTGTAATCGATCTAGTCGAAGAGTTAGATAAGATAGATCGTTCTTAATTTTGTATTTTGTGGTTCTAAACTTACGAAATAACTTCGGCGGTTAGCAAACTAATCTGCTCAACCGCACGAGCATTGTAGTTTACGAATAATAAATTCTCACTTAGCGACATAATCACGAGTCACACTCTCGTAACTATCCTAAACGTTAGATCCGGGAATTTGTTAAAGGCGCAACGACAACGAAGTTGAACCTTCGACCCTTTTTATAGTCGCTTGCACTCTAACTCGGTCTAACACTAGCAAATCGACAAAATGCATAGGAGGATCAGGAAGATCAAGCTGAGAAACGAAAAATAAATTCAATTTTGTGAATAAATCAGAATGTAATAAAATACAATAGTTATGTAATAATAAAATAGTTTGAATGTAATTCAGAGGATTCAAAGTTTATTGTAATCCACAGATTTGGAGCTGGTTTAACATATGAGGACTACGAAGCGATGGCGAGGCACAAATTGGAGCGTCAGGGTAGCGCCAATGTGTCGCGGTGTATGAGGAAATACCCTCCGGGGATGACCTACGAGGAAATAGCGTCCTCGAGATCAGCTGTGACCAAAAAACAGGAGAATAAAATCGAGGAAGATAATAGTCCAGATAGGGACAGTCAGGAAAGCATAGAGCCCCTTCAAGAGAAGGACATCAAAGCCACAGGACCCGATCCATTTGATAAATTAAATTACAAAGCAGGTGAGCGATAAAATGAATATTTTCTTTACATTAATACACGGAGATTTTATGTGGATAAACATTGCCTATAAAGATTCATTAAACGAAAATTCAATATCATCGACCCAGTTTTAGCATTCAATGTTAATCTGTTTATTTACGTAACTATTTTGTACTGCTGTAAATTCTGGGAAAAAGTAAGACTTCTAGTTTTTATCTAATAACAAACTAACCATCAGCGTATAAACAATTCAGGTTTCCTTTAATATATTCTATTAACGCTTAACGTTTGTATTGACAGCTTATTTTCTCTTTCTAGTAAAATATGAATGTATTCTACAATCTTTCATAGATCCAGTTCCACAATCTTTCAATCTCTGTAACACTGACGTTTTTTTTAAAGTACTTATTGTTTCTGATATTATTAAATCTTTCTAACAATAATACAACCGTTCACAAGAAATTTGTTTTATTGTCAATGTTTAACACAACAGCGACTTTATTTTTGTGTGAATGATTTTATATAATACATCTCATTCTTTTTTTGTCGCAAAGCAAGGGCCCCGACCCGCTATCAGACGGTCGTTTTTCGTTTAGGTAAATGAACGTTGATGTGAATGTACTGTAAACCACGGCAGGTGTCGTTCGTTCCTCACGAAATCCCAATGTCGAACTATTCTTGTTGCATCGAAGGAGAACTGTCGTTCGAAATGTCATCAATAACAAATTCTTAACGCAACCCGTAGAACATTATGTTGTTGCATAATAAATGTCGTTTTCCAATGAACTTCGTTTCAGCCACCTTAAAATCATTGAACGTAGGATTAAGGAGTGCATAACTGGTTGACAAAAATTTATCATTACAGATGGATTTAATTTCCATTAAAAATATTTGTTTCCCAATAACTCATAATCGTTCAAACTCTGCCATATTAAATACGTCAATTATTATGCAAGAACCTAATATTAGATTACTGCATAAATTCTATTCAACTGTCTTTTTTCAAAAGACAACAAGAGAAAGACTTTTTCATCCTGAGAAATTGATCACACATATTATTTCAAACCTATAAAATCCAGTTATAAGCACATAGTAACATGCAATAAACCTTTTTTTCAAACTAAATGTTGCTATGTTATGTATATGTACTAGAAATGATCAGAACGTTTGCAGGGGCTTAATATTTTCATTAATGGTCCAGTGAAGAAACGCTGCAACATAAAGGGCGCAGCAAAATTCGCGGTATAATCGACAATGAGTTGCTTCCACGGCAAACAACAAAACGAAAACTACAATAAAATTTTCCATCTGCAGCTTTATGTTCGAAAAAATTCGACTTATAAAATAATTTTGATAACACGAAGTTTCCGATATTTTTTAAACATTGTACGTCTGTAGGGAACCTTAATAGAAATATGTACTAGGCAACTTTTTTTTGCTCCTTATTGGTTATTGAGGATGAAAACACCCCTTAAACGTTAGTAAGTGTTTTGTTATTTGCCTATATATCTTGAATAATACAATAGATATAAAAAAATTGTTTGAATGAAAATTTAATGCTGTATAAAACTGTGGACTAAATTCTTAAAAATTCATTCAATTATTTATTCAAATGAACAACAACTTTTTAACAATTTCATTGCACAGATTTATACAGCATAAAAAGCCAGTAAATTATGATACTCACCATTTTTATATGTCTACTGTAGTTCTTCAGGTACACATTCTGAAAAATAGGAGAACGCAGATTAACGTTTAGGGGTGCCTGATATTTCTGATGAGGTCCCCTATAAATCAGTACAGTTTTAAAAGAATAGAGTTGCCGAAGTTTCCTTGTTAGTCGATTTTATTTGATTAGATTTCTTTTCCTTTCTTTTTTTTTTTGACTGGGGGAAAATCTTGAGAAGGCGACACCCTCTCCGCTGAGGGCGAAAACGGCCTGTGCGGGTTTTCGTCACGCAGAAGCACACTTTCGCGACCAGCCCCGCCCATGTTCCTCCCCCAACGGGGACGGGGTTCTCCTCAGTAGGGGGGGGATGGTGTTCCCAGGGACGGCTGTTAGTCCGTCTCGCCTCCTCCTTCCTACAGTGCCGCGGGGTCACCACTCGACACTGTCCCCCTCTGGGCTAGCCGCCATAGGGATGGCACCCCCAGTGCCACCACCTCAGCTCGGCAGCTCCGCGGGCAGCGCGAGGGCTCACCGCGGCAATGACCCCGTAAACTCGCGCGTCCGCGGGGCGGCTTCATTTTATAAGATTACTTCAACCTGTTATTATAATTCAAACATTTTCCCGTTCCTTTTTCTGTCAAATAGTTAAGGGTGTTAGAGATAAAGAATGAATATTACTGACTTTATTGAATATTATAACTTTTAATTACATGAAAAATAGACAAAGTTTGAAGAAATGCAGTTCATTTTTTGTTGGTTCATTTATTAGGATAGGCGGTAGTCAAATTAATACAAAACAAATAATACCATACCGTTACCTATGTTGCGGCATACCCATGATAAACTCGGGATTTGTCATTGTTCGTTGAAAACGATGTAAATGAGAATGATGGTATTATGACACTTGAATACGTTAACACTACATTGTAACACACTTAAACTTTAATATAAACATAACAAAATGTGATGTATGTAAATGTGTGTAATGATTGTGTTTGGTCTGTCTGATAGATATGTTTCGGATGGTGGTTGAATGTGTTCTGTCTGGTGGTTATGTGCGTAGTCGCGTATTGCAAGAGATCGACTTGTGATTGGTGGAAAATGCAGAATTTTCGTTGGTGTATGTTGTGGAAGAAATGGTACTATGAGGTGGAAGAAGTGGGGCTTTGTCTATGTATTGTTTCTGGGATTCATTGAAGTCAGCGGCGAAATACAATAAAGAAATGGTCTTAGGACAGTGAGTGTTTTGCACAAATGTGACGTGCGGCTGTTCAGAAATCCCCGTTTATGTCAGTATTGACGACCCAAGGCCTAAAAGACGATGATCGCTGTGACCATGGCCTACCTGCTTTGTGTCGCGACAATCTATGTTTTTTTATTAACAGAGATAGTAATTGATAGCATAAATTTTACGTTCCTTATGATCCAGTAGTATTTGAAAACAAGAAAACAAGTGAAACTTCGCACGTAATATGTACAATTCTAAAATTTCGGAATATTTTTTTATACCAGGAATTTTGTTACACCCTGTATAGGGCAAAGGCAGCTGAAATATCGTCGACAGTTTTTCCTCGGTGCAAATACAATAGTGTCTATTTAGATCCCTGCAGAGTTTGTGGAAAACGTAATCCCTTCGTGGAAAGTATCCTGTTGTACGCTTTCTTGTGAATTCATCTCTGCGTAAAATTGTCTATTCGTGAAGATTTATTGTTTGTTTTTGGAGTCATTCTGAATTGTAGACAGAACTTTGTGAAATCCCACGCTTTTTAGTTAATATACATTGACAATTTAAAAAATATGTAATTTATTCATGACAGAACGTATTCATAATAGTAGTATTGTATAACAAATTTAGAGGAAAGTCAATACTATATTATAAAATATTTACATCATATAAATATTCACTAGTTAATTAATTTATAAAGGAATGTACATATATAAAAAGACACTGTAAGGCACAAAAAAAGAGCACTATTTTTTATTGATTACTAAAAGTCAAAATATGTATCGGTTCGTAAATATACAGTGGACTCCCGTATAACGCGATTAATAGATTACGCGTTGTATGAATTCGCGTTATACGGGAGTCTACTGTACATTCATTATTTATTGATAGTAACTTACAATTATTCACACTTGTAAAATGGAATTTCTCGTAAATTCTTGGTTCAATTACTGTATAAAGTAACTCAATAACACCAAAATACAAGTAAAATTAAAAATAGGTAAAGAATATAAAGAAAGATGAAATATAAACTTTTTTATAATAACTTTTTAGAAGAATCATTCGGAATCATCAATCATTTATGATTTGCTCCTACTTATACATATGTATAGTACTATACATGTATAGTAGGTTGTTGCGTATCAAATGCCGATTTTTTTTAGTGGAACTCCGTATTTTATTCAACTTCAAAGAACATTATTAGTTAAAGAATGATTATTTACATTCCAAAGTGAAATATGCCTATGTATGTTCATACAATTACTATTAAGAACCTAAATTCTTGAAAGTGAATTTTTTAATTTTCATAAAAAAAGTATCAAAACCGTAGACAAAAAGTTTTATGGAGCCTTTGAATCTGACTACTAAATTTTCGAAGTAGATTACTTTGAACATTAAATTTCAAACTTATCGATCATTAAAACCGACATTTCATATGGAACAACCTTATAGTAAAAACTGCTCCCCTATTAGAATCCAAATTAGAATTCCCCATTTTAGGAGCATTTTGAACCCCAAATCTTTTTGAACGCAACAATTTACGCTTATACGATCTACACTCTTGAAATGTGTGCAAAGATCCTTACTGTCTCATAGTACGATAGCGCCACTGTACTTTTGTCGTTTCTATGTCTTCGTTTGGAACATTAGATTAGAGGCGTACCTAAAAGTGTCAAAGCAACAGACTTGGCGTGACACACATGTACAGTACAAAGAGTATTAATTAGGAGAGTAGACGCGTTACCAGTAAATTAGAAGAGTTATTTCAGATATGCCCTGTAGCAGCGACTCGACGAGCGATCAAGACGGCTACGGCCCCAGCACGAGCCTAGATTCGAATATGGATGGGCGAAGAATGTGGCAGAGATCAGGTAAAAAGAGTATTTTAAATATAGAAGCAATTTTTTGAACATAACAAACAAATTTTGACAGATGGGTTTGCAGAAATTGAGATCAAATAAAAATTTGATTACTGTGTTAAGGGTTCTACCGGGATTCCAGTAATATGAAATTGATATTAAAGTTTATCAAATATTCTAATGTATTGAGTTTTAGACAATTAATTATGCTATGAACACATGTAATTTGAAGTTTAATAATGAGAGTTATTTACTGAGAAAGTTGAGTATAGTGGAAAAATATTGTCTGAAGTACTTTGTTCCCCGGATTTAATAACTATAAACGTTTGTTTCTTCCATCTATTTGTCGTGGATAAGCAAACTTTAGAAATACAGTAAAGGACAGTATTCTCTCCCTCTAATGACACTATACGTGGTACGGACAACGCGACTATAGAGAGTAATGGGCACGATTTTGCGATCCTCATCGTTGAGGAGACTAAATCATAGCCTGATTTATATTGTCGTGGTCGAGAGAGCTGCAAGCGCGTTTTGAAGAAAAACGGTTATTTCGAAACTTTGAAAATACAATGTCAGTATCGTAATCGAAAATGTACAATAGGAAAACGCGTAATTCGAACAAAGATGGACACTCGATCGACTGACCAACGATTGACTGATCTACTATTCTACTGTTCTACTGTTCTACTGAGCTACTGAGCCCTACGTGGCAAGACTGAGCTTCTTATATGTATAGTCCTCCTTATTTCTGTTTCCCGTGGTGGGGGTGTGTGCTGGAGATGAGCTGTGAGAATATGAACTATTGTTTACTGTGTTTGAAACGAAGATGTGATTACGAAGAGATCGATAAAGCTTGAATATAAAGAGGGGATACTGTATTTATACTCTCTGTATCGACTACTTGGTATATTGTCAATGATTACAGTTGTAATATCTATAATTCAGGTTCATCGGGATCACTACAATCTTGGGCTTCCAGTCTATCAGCAGACAGCCTGTCTGAGGAAGCCGCCGCGGACTTCATGAAATCCTTTGTACCTCTTCTGTTCGACGCTCCAAACACTATTGATCAAGAACAAAAAGCGAACTTCGGCCAAATGGTTCTTGTACGTATTTTTAAAAATTATTATACCGGGTCGGGCAATAACTATGTCCACTTTGAATATTGCCGTTATTTGTAATAATACGAAAAATGTTACATACAAAACTTACACGGTATAGAGGGGGGCATATTGTGACACAAACATTTTCTGCGTGGGTGAAGGCATAGAGGAGATTTCAAGGTCATCTCTATTTTTTTTTTAATGGAATACTATTTTTTTTTATCGCGATGTGATAGCCGGTGTTGAGACGACTTCAGCGAGCTATCATTGAAGGTCATGCAAGGTCAAATGTGGTAGTAAAATAAACTTTCTTACATTACAGGAGATGCTCGAAGTAGTGGCCGTTTGCGTTAATGCAAACTTGCAATGTTCGTATCGCTGCATCGCGTGCATGTCTTGGCGTTTCTGAACTTATTCTAGCACATGCCGTATTATTTCATAAACCCTCACTTTTACATAAACTGGTCTACTTTAAAATGGTCTTGTAACATTGTTTATGTTGCGGCAATACATCGCGTATAGCTAGAAATGTAAACATCTCATCAGTTCGTAACATTAACATGAATCGGTAGTCAGTCTCGGTCGATTGCTAAGTCAAGTAGCTGCGTGATTATCAAAATAAAGTTTTCTTTCAAAGAGCAAGTGGAAATGATCCTTATTTATGGAGAAATGCGACAAAATTCGATAAGAGCTCAATCCTTGTATGCTGAAGGATATCCAAACCGTCGACATCCTTCGCACCAAACATTTCAAAGATTGTGCGAAAAATTGAGAGAAACCGGAAATTCGGGTACTCGTAAGAGCAGTCGTCGTAAAAGAGCAACTGATGAAAGAAATGAAGTTGGTGTTCTATCGGTTGCAACTCATAACCCGCAGATCAGTTCTCGACAGATTGAACGTGAGTCGGCTATCAGTAAAAGGAGCGTACTACGAATACTTGCACGGCATAAATTTCATCCATACCGTATTACTCTTCGTCAAGAGTTACACAGTACGGATTTTATGAATCGTGTTGCATTTTGTCATAATACAAATCGATGAAACATTTTTTTCTTCAATACTGTTCACCGATGAAGCTACGTTTACTAACCATGGAAATCTTAATTTGCATAATATGCATTATTGGAATATCGATAATCCACACTGGTTACAAGTTGAGCATCAACGACAATGGTCAGTTAACGTGTGGTGTGGAATCGTTGGTGATCAATTAATCGGACCGCATTTTATCGATGGAAATCTTACTGGCGAACGATATGCACACTTTATACGAAGTAGATTAGGGACTAAGACGGGTGTCCAGCACATTATGCTCGGAGAGTAAGAGATACACTGAACGAACTTTACCCAAATAAATGAATAGGAAGTGGAGGATTAGTTCATTGGCCACCTCATTCTCCAGATTTAACTGGACTTTTTCATTTGCTCTGAGGAGCATTGAAAAATGCTGTTTATCAAGAAGTACCCACTACACCAGAAAATATGAAACAACGGATAATTGCAGAATGTGCTAGAATAAGTTCAGGAACGATAAGACATGCACGTGTTGCAGCGATACGAAGATTGCAACTTTGCATTGACTCAAACTGTCACCACTTCGAGCATCTCCTGTAATGTAAGAAAGTTTATTTTACTAACACATTTGACCTTCCTGACCTTCAATGATAGCTCGCTGAAGTCGTCTCAACACCGGTTATCACATCGCGATAAAAAAGAAATAGTATTCCGTTAAAAAAAAAATAGAGATGACCTTGAAATCTCCTCTATGCCTTCACCCGCGCAGAAAATGTTTGTGGCACAATATGTCCCCCTCTATACCGTGTAAGTTTTGTGTATAACATTTTTTCATATTATTACAAATAACGGCAATATTCAAAGTGGACATAGTTATTGTCCCACCCTGTATATGTTAAAGTAACAAAAGTGAAACGTTTGGAAGTTTCATTGGAAATTTTAAATAACTGTCCGACTGACTTGTTTTCAAAAATCTTCAAAAAACTCCTTCGTTACTAAAAAATATGATACAATTAAATTAGTAGTTATAAATTACGAATTCGGTGTCAATTATTCAATTTATTTTCTATAAGTGTCCTAAGTCATCGAAGCAGTTTCCCGTTATAATTAATATTATTGTATAGAATTAAAATCTTATGGTTGTATTGCAAAAATTTATACCGTATGTACTGTAGGGTGGACCTTAGATACTATGGACGAAAAAAAATTTTCGAATTTCTTTCGGGACACACGCTTGGATTGTGACACCCGTGGCTCATCAAATTTGATAATTGTTGAATTTTAGAAACTTGTTTTTCTTCGTTATAGTACATCGTAAATATACGTGTTGAGACATAATTTAATTTGTACTTTTGTGCTCTATAATGTTACGAGAAGAAAATACAAGATTAAAGTTGAAAATGTATCATGATCTTGGAATCTCAAAAGTTGAGTTTCAAGAAAAATTGTTTCTTTGGCATTATATTTACTTCATCGAACAGTACAAATTTCATTTAAGGAATTCTTTCATATCTTTATTAATCACAAAGACATTTACAATATATTATTTACATATACAATATACTGCATATTTATTATACAAAAAACTGTGTTATAATCAAAAAGAAAATTTAGAGGAGAAAAAAAAGAAGGTATCTTCGTGATTTAAAAATATCCTTTTCAATATTTCGTTGAAATATTTTATATATCTTTTGATAATGTCTGTTTTTTTACATCCGGAAACTGTTTTCTATTTTCAGCAACAATTTGCAATCTGTATTGCTTTTCTGTCTAATTTTGTGTTAATATTTTATTATAGTCTTGTATAAATTTGTCACCACATTCGGCAGTGTCGTTTACAACGTTTACTTCTTGAGCGATGCTTAATTCGTATTTGAAATCATTCTCATCCTTCCACAAATCGGGATCATTTTTTAAAAATTCAGAAGAAATTGAGAATCTTTCAAAGAAATTTATTGAACATTGTGAAATGAAGTATTCAATATCTCTGTGAATGTAGACATCTACATCAATCGTCTTGACCATTTTCAGTTTCGTGTTCTTTTCCACTTTTTTGTCATTGTTACGACCTGTGTGCGAATTTTATCCGGAAGTATAACGGGTGGGACGTAACACCCCGCCCCCTTAAAATTTAGTCATCGTCCTCGATGATGTACTTCGAATTTACGAATTACCGAATTCGGATGTTTGTGTTTTTTTTTCTCTCAGTTATATCTACAGCTACATTCTACAAGGTGTTAATGTGGGTGTGAATCAAAATGGAAAACATGAAAATTATGTAACTCTTACGCATTGTGTGGGTAGCTGTCGCGTAGATGGAATCGGATTCTTTTCTTCAGTTGTTGATACGATCATTGGTTCGGCATATTGGCGATCTTCTTCGGTTGTCGGCGTCTGCTTCCATATTGTGATTATCTCGGCTCACCTTAAGTTTCTTACAGAAGCATGAAGCAGTCTTCAATCGGGGGACTATGATGTGTGCTATTAAATGGCTTAATATGATTATTAGTGTTGTTAGACCAAATCCAGAGTACAGCATTGTGTTGCGGTATTGGCGAGGTCTGTGATGTTCTGCGAGTTGTTCGATTTCCTTCTCGACATCTCCTAATGACCCTTCGAAGTTGCGTTCATTCCAATTCTCCGTAACATCTTCCCTTGGGTTAGCTGTTGTTTCTGCATTCAAAATTGATTGCGGGATTTCCTGTGCAAATTCATCTAAAACAGGCGATATATTGTTGAGATTTAATGTAACATTTGGGACATAGAAAGATTGTTGTTGTGAAGTCGTAGAACGCCTACTCCTGTGAGTGTCAGTTGCACCGTTTTCTTGTTGTTACATAAAATTTTAATGCTTTCTGGTTTTTCAAATGAAAACAGTCAGCCCTCCAATGTACGTACGCAACTCCAATAAGGCTCGTGGTGATGGAGAACTCGAACGTCACAGAGACGCATAACCTCTACCGATGGTTGTGTGAGAAGTAGACATTCGCAAGAGTTGTGCTAACTGTCTCAAAAATTGGTGCATCTGCAAGGCAAAGATGTTGATGAGGAGAGATGACACGATCATGCAGATAATCATCGGTAACCAAGAAATAATGTCGATAATCCGTCGATAATGCCAAATATGGTGCCCGGGGTTGTATACAGGGTGTAACAATAATGTTGTCCGACCCGGAAATGGGGCACTCGGGGGGTGAATTGGAACAAGTTTTTCCTTAGCAACAATGTAATCTGAGACTTCGTTACCGAGATATTAACGAAAAACCTCGACCAATCAGAACGCGAGTTTGTCAGCCGAGTTCCCGCGCTAGTGGTGGCTACGTAGATTTTTAAAACAGAGATGGGGTAATAAGGAGTCAATTGAATCAAAATGATTTTGTTTCGCGATAATACTAAATATCAGATGTTTTCTGTGGGGTGTTATTAAGATTTGACCCAAATTTGGTTTGGCATCGCGAAGGTTTTTGGCGTCTATTATTCCAGTATCAATCAACAGTTTACTTACTGGTGAGGTAATTTTAATATTGGCTAATAAAAAGTGAACAATATTGTCCCTGTTATACAGGATACCTTCTTGGCAATTGTCAATTGAACATGAGGGATCGATACAAAATGGATTGATTATGTGCTCCTCGTTAGACGGGATGATAAGGTACACCCTGTATACCTTCGATTTCGAAGCTAGGTCTTGTGTTCAGAGCAGGTCGAAAGCTAACGGATACTGGAGGGTTTGGACTGCCTACCTATGCAAATGTTCAAAATTTTCAAGAGTATTCATGCAAACTATTCTATACGCAGGAACTAACAGTAATATTAAATAATTAAGAAACTACAATCTTGATGAAAGTATGAGTCACTTCATTACAATACTGAAATCTGCTATCTTTTATAAGATATGAAGGCACATAAACGAAAATGTCGAAATATCTTCTTTATTTATACATACATGAAAAAGTGTCTAAAACAAAAATTGTACTGTTGGATGAAGTGAATACAATGCTATAGAAAAAATTTTGTTTTTGACGCCAAGTTTTGGGATTTGAAGGTGGCGACTTTTTTTCGCGGTGATTTTATATTTTCTTTTCGTATTTTTATAGAGCATAAAGAAAACTAATTCAACGATGTATAAAACCGTATATTTACGATGTACTACAATGGAGGGAAACAAGTTTCAAAAGTAACAAATTTTCAAGTTCGATGAGACACGAGTTCCCTTTATCCGATCGATGTAAAATTTTTCACACATTATTTTTTCAGCTAGTGTAATAATCCTAGCGGGTGTTCCGAAAACAAATTCGTTGGTTGAAAAATAAAATCCACCCTAATGTACTGTAATTCTGAGTATTGGTACATATATTAAAAATTGTGCAGTGACAATAGGGACGTTATTTTTTAAATAGCATAACACAGTTGCAAAAGCTTATATATTTTACTATTGAACGTGAAAAGCCTTCGATATGATCGACAGATTGACATAAAAAAATGTTTTTTTATAAATGATAAAAACAACTGCATATTTTATAGCGTCTCTATTTACCTTTATTTTTTATGCATACAGGTAAATAACTTTTTCGGCCTAAAATTGAAAGAGTAGCTTCACTGTTTGAACAAGTACGTACTTGTAAAAAAAGTACGTGTCAAATATGTTGGAATTATTTGATGTCTATACCTATTATAATAGCTTCATCAAAACCTTTTTGCTAAAATTGAAGCTACTTTCAATAATTGGTTGATAAAAAGCGTGAATACCATACGAAAACTTGCTGTTTTACCTTCAATTCATAATAGTTTTGAACAAGCCGTATATAGACATCCGTAGTCTACAATAATTATGATAACTCTCGTCCTATTTAACCAGAGATATTATACATGGACACATTGCAGACAGAATCTGGTAGAATATGGTTCGCGAGAGTAGTGAATGCGAGAAGAGCCCGTCCTTGCGTTACAGAGGCTTCGTTTTATTCATTGGCGCAACATTTTGCAGTGGCGCTCTTCGAGTGTCACGAAGCCGACGACTTTGCACCAGCGAAAAGTCTCATGAATATGTGCTTCACATTCTACCACGAAGGTATTAAGTTAATTTTTCATTCATCTTCCAATGTTATACAGGGTGACAACAAGAAAACGTTCAGAATTTTAAAGGTAGATAATACGCGACAAATGGAGAAAAAAAGCCCTAATAAACATGGAAAAAAAAATTAATATTTTCAAAGCTATAAACAATTTTTCGTTTTTTTCATACGAAGGCGTCAAATGAGTGGCGAAATGAGAGGAGGACATGTAAAAAATACATTATCACGAAAAGAAGAAGTGGTCGGATAATCCATTGCTTCTATGAAACATATTAGGTCCCGAAGGAAGCAAGCTACTCACTTTAACTGAAACGAGAAAATTGTTTATAAATTTGGAAACATTCATTTTTCGAGTAATGTTCCTTAGGATCTTTTTCCTCCATTTGGTGGGTACCATCTACTGTTCGAGTTCTAAACCATTTTTTGATCACCCTTAGAATAGAAAATCGATGAGTTTTCTATGGAGTTTGTGCCAAACAATTAAATTTTTACTCGTGTATTCTTTTACGTTTCAACCAGTTGAAGTACCCGGATTGGAGCCGTATCGAGAATACTTGTACACGCATCTGCGAGTACAACCGATTTGGACGTCGATGAGATTCTGGACGGCAGCGTTTTTCGACGCGGTGCAGTGCGAACGAGCTTCGAGGCCAGTTCCCCCGAGACCCAAATCCCTCGACCAGGAAGCCATAGCTGTTGAGGATCGAAGATTTCAGGCTAACATCGTTTTCGGGCAATTAGGGTAAACACTTTAATGAGCAAACAGCTTTCATATTGGTAGATTCTAACATTTTCGATAGAATTAATTTCGAATTTTTTCGTTTTACAGAACGTTTACTTGTAATATGCACGCATTTGGCCTGTCGCGAACCCTGTGCTTAGAATTCCTTAGGAAACAGTGCGTGATCGCTAATTTAACGAAAGGTAAGCCTAATATTCAATATATCGTACCCCCGCGAGAAAAGTATCACAAGTCAATTTTCAATTTTTATTTTGTTGCGTGAAGTATATTATGATACGTAGATCCATCATCCAGAAAAACGTCATAATATGAAGTCTAATACTTCGAGCGAAATGGCACTAGTGTCACTTCATTAACATATTACATATTCTAGGCTTGTGACACTTTTCTTTTGTGTGTGTGTGTGTGTGTATGTGTTTTTTTCGGAGGGTGGGCGGATAATCTTCCAGACTCCACGAGCCCGTGCTGTGTGGGTTGTGGGATTTTCACCCACTAAAAACCGTCTCGCTTGTCACATTCTCTTTCCTGTGTCTTTCACGGAACCGCCGTCAAGCATTACTTCGCGGTCAGGGTTGCTATTGCAGCAGCATCTTTCTTCGCGCTACCCTAACACGCGCTTCCTATTCCATTCTTTGAGGCGTACTTGTTTGAGAAGGATCAGCGCATACTCATCGATCGCGTTCCATGCTTCTTCGGTGTTCCGCATGAGCGTGACGATGTTCTCCAGGGTGATGGCTCGGTCAAGTCTTCCTTGCAGTACGCTCCTTTGGCTGTCAAAGCGATGGCAAACGAAGAAAACGTGCTTCGCGTCTTCTTCCATATCGTGACATATTGGACATGCAGAACTGTTGTCCCGTCTGAAACAATATTGGTACGCCCAGAAGCAACCATGTCTCGTCAACATCTGCGTGAGGTAGTAACCAACCTCGGCTTGTTACGGATCCAGCCACGGATTCAGCACGGGGATCAGATGGTGGGTCCATCTTCCACCTGGGGATAATTCCTAACAGCTTTGCGACTATACTCTTGAGACACAGCTTTCTCCTAGGCAGATGTCATGTCGTCGTCTTTTCATTTTCCCCTATGAAACAATCGACGTCGCTCGTCCGCCAGAATTTCAATGGGCATCGTGCCGACTATCACACATGCTGTGTCGCAGGACACGGCGCGGAAGGCGCAGGCCACCCTCAGAACACTCCTTCGATGTATCGCAATGACACATCGCTTGTATGTGGCCGTGCTCAACGCTTACACCCAGCTAAGTGCTGCGTACAGAAGGATCGAGGTTACCACGCTCGCAAGTAGGGGTTTTCTGCTCTGTTTGGACCCACCGATGTTCGGCATTAAGCGTGATAACGCCGTCGTTGCCCTTGCCGCCTTTTTGCTGGTACATGTTAGGTGGCCTCGGAAACGAAGCCTGTCGCACAACCGAACCCCGAAGTACCTCAGCGAACCGCCGGAAGTTATTTTGTACTCACTGACCGAAACTGTAATGGTTTCCCTACTACTTCCTGCCGGTGATGAGCACCGCCTCGGCTTTTTCATCCGCGAGTTGCAGTCCAACCGATGCCAGCCACTGCCGTATGACGGCGACCGCCTCGTTAGAGATCTGTCCGATCTCTTCCAGGGTTTTCGCCACCACCAGGATGACAATGTTATCGCCGAATGCGATGATCTTCGCCCTTCCGGCATTTGAAGCCTGAGTACCTCGTTATAAAACACGTCTCATATCGGCGGACCCAGCACAGAGCATTGAGGGACTGCTTCCGTGACCTTGTAGGTCCTTGTTCCGTCGTCGGGGCTGTAGAGCAGGATCCTGTTTTTGAAGTAATCTCCGACGTTTCTCCTTACGTATTCCGGGGCACCCATATGACGCAAGGCCTCCAGGATGCAGCTCCAACTCGCGGCGTTGAAGGCATTTCGGATACCAAGCCTCATGACCGCGCAGTACAGTCAGCTCCTCTCTTTCACCTCCTTCCTGCGATCGCCTTCCTTGCGTTGTCGACGACCAGATTAACGGCATTCACAGTTGAGCGAACCTTCCGAAAACCAAATTGGTGATCGGATAGACCTCCGTTGCTACGTAGGGAGCAACAAGCCCTAATCCGAGAGCTGAATGCTCCCACCTTCGACTTCCTGACTGCAGAGGTTCTTGATGGCTGTGCTCTGCGCATAAATCCGCGCACCTCACATATTATGGCCTGGTGGTCGCTTTGTCCCGCGTTTCTCGATATCAAGATTTCTAGTTTTCGACGAAATATAGCCAGTTAGAAACAACATTTATTACTTGCCACGTAGTGCCTGTTCGTTTTGATCGGTTTCAAGAAATTCTGACGCGTATTTCGACACGTATAATGAGTGCTTTGCACACCACTGTACGGGGTGCAGGTTAAGCATTGCTTTTATATTGCCATGCTATACTTATTTGATCACTGGGCCCTAATCCTCTATTTATGGCCCCGATATGGTACTACCTCCTTAGTTTATTATTGTCGATTTTTTTATTAACTCTATTAAATCTGTATAAACGAATTTCTCTCATTTTCCTTAAATACAAACCCTAATCTAATAGTTTTAACAGGCAGAATCTGGATACCCGAAGATCGTGTAAAAATGTAGTGAAATTGCCGTATACTGTATTTGACTTTCATATCTCATTCTCTATGTTTACAAAATGATTGTCGCTGATTAACACCTATTCTCTGGTATCTTACAATTCTTTAACATAAATTTTGTCTAATTTTACAGACCAGGAAAAAATGTTACGAGACAACATAGAAAGAATGTACAACGAGACTGAACCCTGGCGGTAGTTTCATTTGGTCATGTTCCTGCAACCTTTGGAAACAGTTCATTCGAAACATGTCCAGCTCCTCAAGTGCGATTTGCGGAAAAGATCGACGCGGAAGTAATTGAATCGTAACTCCAATGAAAAGTGGGAACGTACGATTCTGGAAAGAGCAAAAATGTCAATTTGATCGAGTAATAACAATCCCAAACCAGAACACCGAACTACACGGTGAGAATTGATTCTGAGTTTAGCATGCAGATGGTTCCTATAGTCAGATATTATAGAAGCAATTTATTACGTCGACTCTATAATCTTTAACAGAACATAAGAATAGTTTACTAACTTTGTGTGAAATGTCATTTAATTCATTACATTAATTCACGCAATTCATTGAATCGCTTTTATAAATTTAAATCGAATATATATTTATTGTTTAAGGCTCTTTCTTGGCCGTTTAGTAGGATCCTATGAATTCGAGTCACGCGATACGATGAGTGAACGAAAATTGAGAAAACGTTAAATCGAGAACGATGGGGGCAGGGAGAAGATCGATGATTTCGATTAATTTTACGGCGAAACCTCCGTGTCCCGAATTTACGTAAATTTTAAGCATAAACGGACAATATTCGCTGCAAATCGTTCTCTGGATGTCAAGATTTCTAGTTTTCGACGAAATATAGCCAGTTAGAAACAACATTTATTACTTCTGAAACGGATATTTCATTAATTTTTTTATTTCAAGTAGCATCGGGATATATTATAAAATACCAGACGATAGTTTTCACTAAATATACTTGTTAACAGCACACAAAGGATTATGTTCCAGGAAAATATTTCTGCGGGTCTGTAAATTAAGTTTTGCAGACTTAAAGCTCAGTTTGTCGATGCGAAATACTGCTGCAAGCAACACCGAAATGAAATGAAACATTGTAAAGCTATGTGCGTTTATAGCGAGGGACAAAAGTATTCGTTTGGTACAAGTGTGCAAGGAAACGTCAATAACAACAGGAGTAACCGAGGATAATTGTAAAATTTTACAATTACTAAAAATTCGATATTCACTCGTGCATACTATTTTCTCGGGACAAAAGTGTGCCTCCAGTGTAAATATTTATTATTACTATTTTGTGAGATACAGTTGTCTCGCTTTTTAAAATTCTTGCATTCTACTGATAAATCATTGATTATATTAACAACAGATATTATGTGATCTGTTAAAACAGCAAACTAAGCGCGACATCATTTCCGTTCCAGAACGAGCTTAATATATCTAAGTATCTATTAATGTAGGAATACAATATTATTAAAGAGTATTAATAGTGCACTGAAAATTTTTACCAAAATTGTGGTGGATTGCTTTGAAAAAATCATAATTAATTTTTAAATAACAAAATTTGTTGAATAATTTGAAAAATGTATTCTGTCACACATGCTACTACCCTGGGCAAATAGTATTTGATCGAGAAAACTAGACATCTATAGCAAAAATATTAATCGTATATGAAGTAAAAAAAGTGGTAAAATATTAACTACACAATAAAAACGCGAAACAATGATTAGAGCAGGTATTTAATTAATTCTTAGCTACTTATTATTAATCTTCAAAATTTGATTGGTTAAAGGAATCATAAAAAAATAAAAATTCCATTTACTCTCTTAAGGACTTTATTCGGTTAAAAATGACATGAAAAATTGGTTCAATTGGATTTAAATGTAATATTTTACTACATTTCACACCGTCCTATGTGCTACAAATGCAGAAGATCAGTAGTTTAGTTAGTACCATTTCTTTTATTTGGAAAATAAAAGTTCTTTTTAATAATCTGCACTAAATATGAACAGACCATTTTTCAACTGCGAAAGTATTGACTGTTTTTGCATTAATGATGATTATTAACATTAAACCATTGCAATATTAACTGTTACTTGAAATAGGCCCATCATTTCCCATAGCTTTTTACCATCTTTTGAACAAAACTAGAATTACCTGTTGATAAAATGAAACTATCCCCTGTTGATAAATGAACTATCGTTCTTATCATATTAATCCATTTGAACAAATATTGATATTTTGCCTGGGGTAATAGGAAAAAATTGTATTGAATCTTGTGGAATCTCTCGCTTGACTGCGTTCTATACATTTGTTCCATAATCTGCAAATCCATAAAATCTATAGTCAAATCGTTAGTAATTTCATATTTATTACATTTCGTTTACTCGTTGTAGAGCACTGTAAGTACTTTCTACCCAGCCTTTTTTGTTCCTATGAAATGATAAATGTCATATTTACACAGAATGGTTCCAGAAAGTTTCAACGTATTTTGATTGTAAGAATATAAAATAATGACAATATATTGATTACGGTTACACAGCAAAATTACAAAACTCAATAATTTCAATTAATAGATATGTAGGGTGCGACCAAAGGATGGTACAAGCAGGCAAGAGGTGATTCCTTTTTAAATCAAAACTGTAGAATAAAATTATTTCACCAGTCATAATTTTTAAGATTATCAACCCTGAAAATGTATCTAAACAGGGTGTCCCACCCGATTTTGACATTTTGATTTTCTCGCTATTGTTACTCGTAGCAAAAAATGTTTCAGCGGAGGCTTCAATGGTATCAAGTGGAGCATATTCTGATGTTAGTTTTTTCGTGAGTAGACGCGTAAAGGTCATATAACGGTCAACTTTGTTTTTTTAAATGGAATGAGGTATTTTTTAATACATGAATCGATGCAGTTACACATTCGTTACAAAAAAGTACTAACCTATGTATGTCGAAATGTTAGGAGTTCTGGACATATTTCAATTTAAATAATTCTAAAATAACATTACTGTCGTACTTTATTACCATTCCTGTAAATAAACGCTAACGTCTTAGTAATGGTATTTTAGAATTATTTAAATTGAAATATCTCCTGAACTACTAACTTTTCGATATACATAGGTTAGTACTTTTTTGTAACGAATGTCTAGCTGCATCGATTGATGTATTAAAAAATACCTCATTCCATTTAAAGAAACAATGTTGACCTTTATATGACCTTTACGCGTCTACTCACGAAAAAACTAATAACATCAAAATATGCTCCACTCGATACCATTCAAGCCTCCGCTGAAACATTTTTTGCTACGTCAAGACGTCAAAATCGGGTGAGACATCCTGTATAGAATGTTTGGATTTGTACTAGTAGAATCAGAATACACTTAACAGACACGTTTGCAGAGTCCTATTCAATTGCACACGTTCCAGAAGAATTTCGAATTGAATTATCTCAGAAACGAAGTCTCAGTTGATAAAATTTACTGTACACTTTCGATTTACTTTTGCATAGGAAATCACCTCCTACAAGCGTGTACCATCCTTTCGGTCGCATCTTGTATACCTGTACACGTACATAGCTGTTCTATACTTAATTAGGATAGTCCTTAGTTGCATACTGAAACGAATATATAATTTCCTGGTAACATTCAAAGGAGCTTATTGTTTTATATGCACTACTGTTATCACAATAATAGTAACATACAGTCAGACAAACTGCTAGAAGGATCATTTATGTAGGAAAACAATAATGTGTATACAATAACTTTTTGGAACCGGTACATATTTAACTTTATTACCAACATAGAAACTATATTTTTTTATTTCCACGTTCTACCCGCGCGAAAACTTTTATCCCTCAACGTAAGTTAATCAAGGACTAAGGGTATCTCGTTAATCACTATCACGACATTCTTTTATAAACCATTATTTATAGTATACGCTAAGCAAACTTTCTTTCGGTGATATTCATGTACATATGTAAAACACGTGTTTGTATTTAAAGACATATCATTGAATTCAAATGGCGCTGTACTTTATTTTGTATATCGGTCCGCACTTCCAGCGAAGATTGTTAGCAAACAAAGAGAATCATTAATAAACTCCTTCGCCACAGAAATCGTTGTTATTAATATAAAAAAAGGATCATTTTTGTCCTTACCTAGTGATGTGGCGTACTTACGATAAGCTCGCGATTTGCCACTGCTCATTGGTAAATTTATATCGCGGAGCTTGTTGGAAAGTGGTGTGATTGTGTATAGTAATATATAGCGTGTAACAAAAATGTTGGGGGACCCGAAAATGGGAGACTCGTGAGGTGATTTGAAACAATCGCAGAGCGTAGCCAACGCTACTGCGGGAACTCGGCCGGCAGACTCGCGCTCTGATTGGTCGGGGTTCTTCGTTAATATCTCGTTAACAAAGCATCAGATAACATTTTTGCTAAGGAAGAACTTGTTTCAAATTAACTCACGAGTCTCCCATTTCCGGGTCCTCCAACATTTTTTGTTACACTCTGTACTATGAATTGAATAAGTTAACACTACTTTATAACACACTTAAACTTTAATATACACGTAACAGAATATGGTGTGTTGTGTTTGCTCTGACTGATAAATGTGTACTGGTTAATGGGTGAATGTGTTCTGACTGGTGGCACAGACGAGATACAAGAATAGACCTAACATGCAATATAATTTTTTGTCCCATGCTACGAGGGCGACAGAAGCCCCCTTACCATTTTAGTGTCAATACCCGACGTTAACGATAAAGCATGAATTCTGAGTATTATTAGCACAAATGAAGTGTTATATATTCCTTCATATTGCGTGTATGTATATGATTTGACGGGAATTAAAATATCCGATGCTTCAGTTTAAGGTTAAGGGATAAATATGACAGTCATGAAACATGAAACAGAAAAGTATAAATTTTTTCACTTAACTACAAGACAATTTATTCACAATGCATCGTTAATGGACATTTTATTAATGTTACTTTTTACATGTTCTTGTATTATTCGTTTTTATATCTTGCCTTACATTTGTATATTTGTAACAGATAAATTTAGAATAGATGTAGTTTCATAAATAGTTTATCAAATCTATATGTGGGAGAATATATACACCGTTTTTATTAATATTTACATATTTATAATTTATATGGGAGTATGAATAGTTTTACTGCCTATTGTAAGAATCTTAATACGCACGAACAATTACTTTCTGGCGATTGGTAAATTTTTACATATGAATTTACTTATACGTTCTTTACTTACAAATATTTTATTTATTGCGAGTAATTAAATAATGAACGTATGTTAATATTCAGCTACGTGTCTCTCAAATTAAGTGAAATACAGAAGTTTTATTTTCTCGAAAATTAGT